GTAAAGTGTGGTGGTGAGAACACTTGAAGAACTAAAAACAAATCCTCTATACAACAGTGAACCTCTTTCCAAGCTGGGCTCACGTCATTAATCAAAAACAAATTGAAGGCACACAACAACAACAAATCAGTGGATCATTTCACGGATGCATTTTTACTGCAAATTAAAGTACATACCGAACTCATATTTTAATAACATTTTTATCACCATCAATTCCAGTGCACTGTTGTGAAAATAACAGGTACAAATATCAAGCCCCTTAGGAAGGCTTCCTCAAGTAGTAGAGTTTTAGAGGAAAAATAGGAGCTTGTGATAGTACCATATATTGAAAATCACAAAATGTAGACCAGGGATTTGTTAAACTGTTTCAGCAGCATATTTGATAGACAAAATATCTGTGATGGGAAAATAAGAAATCAGTGCAGAACCAAAGTCAGTTATTCATGACTGATCTGCCACATTATCATTGACCACCTGAATGGAGTTCATGAATATCATTGCTTTCCTACAGATCACAATATGAGATAATTGACTTTAATGTGACATGGTACTTCTTCTAAGAGATTTAATGTCTGACATGGTACTTCTTATAAGAGATTCAAGCAAAGAATAGTGGAAGCTACAGGTGACAGGTTTGTCATTATTGCTGACTTACGATCTGCACTTGGAAAAGCCACCTTTTGGACTACAAGTCCCAAGATCCTCCAGCCAACATGGCCATTGGCCATGCTGACTGGCAAATCCTGGAAAGTATCATCCAAAAGTTTCCAGGCAGAGTTTCTAGGCTCTTTCTATGGTGCTGCAAACGATATGTGGAATAGAATCGTAGAATTATAGAGTTGGAAGAGACCTCATGGGCCATCCAGTCCAACCCCCTGCCAAGAAGCAGGAATATTGCATTCAAAGCACCCCTGACAGATGGCCATCCAGCCTCTGTTTAAAAGCTTCCAAAAAAGGAGCCTCCACCACACTTCGGGGCAGAGAGTTCCACTGCTGAACAGCTCTCACAGTCAGAAAATTCTTCCTAATATTCAGATGGAATCTCCTTTCTTGTAGTTTGAAGCCATTGTTCCGCGTCCTAGTCTCTGGAGCAGCAGAAAACAAGTCTGCTCCCTCCTCCCTATGACTTCCCCACACACACACACACACACACACACACACACACACACACACACACACGGTCCTCATCATGTCTCCTCTCAGCCTTCTTCACATACTTATTTTCTATGTGAACAGTCAACCAGAACCTGCTACTTTATGGAGCCCATTGAAATGGAGTGGGAGCTGCCCAAAGTAGGCGTTTGTCAGTGTGGGACAGAAGGCATCTCTTTACGGTTCGGCTGTCCTTAAATTATTCTTTAGACTTTTATTTGATCCCATTGCCATCCATCTCTGAGGACTACAAGGAATGGCTTGGTGATCTGGGCACGTTCAGCTTGGAGGAGACTAGACCACAAGATAACCACCTTTGAGTATCTGAAGGGATACACGGAGAAGGTGGAGTTTGTTTGTTGCTGCTCTCGAGACTAGAATCTGAACCAATGGGCTCAAATTAAGATAAAGAGATCCATGTAAACATTAGAAATAATTCCTTTTCTGTAAGAGCTGTTAAAGACTGGAATAGGGGGCCTCACAAAGTCTCCGTTTTTGGAGGTATTTTACGCAGGCATTGGATGGCTATATCTCAGAATGGGGTTCCAGACCAACGTTTGTTTCTTTCATTCTACGATTGGGAACCTTGAGGACATGTATTTGTGTCTGCTAGGGCTGGGGAATGATAGGGAGGAATGTCATCCTCCTTTGGAGCAAGGTGCCAGACATTGTCTGAACTGTTTTTTACCAAAACCCAAGAAATATCAATCACAGAAAAATCATAATTCCCCGCACCCCCATCAATGTGTTATTGAAGACTATCATGGCTGTAATCAATCGGTTGCTGTGAGTTTTCCAGGTTGTATGGCCATGTTCCAGGAGCATTTTCTCCTGACGTTTCACCCACAACTATGGCAGGCATCCTCAGAGGTTGTGAGGTTTGTTGGAAACCAGGCAAGTGAAACTAGGCACCCTCACATCACTTTCCAGGTGAGAAACCGTGTTGTAGTGTTTTTTGAGGGCAGTTCTTTTCCCTTTCTTTCCACAGGTTTCTTAAACCTTTCCCACTTGCAACCCCTTTCTGCTGATATTTTTTATGCAGCCCCGAGTATATTGGTATATAAACCATATATAAAAACCAAAACATTTACTGATAACAAATCAACACTTGCAAGGCTGATTTTCCTTTTTTGTGGAGTACAGCTGAAGCATCTTCTGCAGAACATGTCCATACTGCCCGGAAAACTCACAGCAACTCAGTGATTCCAGCCATGAAAGCTTTTGACAACACAGCTTCTGCAGAGTTCACAGTAAACACTGCACATTGTTGCTAACAGATTTGTGTAAATGACTGACGTTCAGAAACAACCTTTTTACTGTTGTCATTTTTTTTCAGGAACCCAAGAATGAGCCAAGGGACCCAACTGGAGGTCAGGACCCACAGTTTAAGAAACAGTGCTTAAATGTGACAAGCTGAACCATCCCTCTCTATGGACACGATAGTCCAGTAAGTAATTCAACCCTCTTGACCTGTGCAGAAGGAGCGTATGCATCCTTTCCTCCATTTGTGGGGCTTGCCTATGATCTAGAATGCATCTACACTGTGGAATGGATGCAGCTGAACACCACTTTAATTGCCGTGGAGTAATGAAGTTTCAGGGTTTTTAGCCACCTTTTGTCCAAGTGCGCTGGTGCCTCACCACATGACAACTTCTAGTGTTCGATCTCATTGAGCCATGGCAGTTAATGCATTGACAAAGGCTTCCATGGCCGGAATCACTCTGTTGCTGTGACTTTTCCGGGCTGTATGGCCATGTTCCAGAAGCATTGTCTCCTGACGTTTCACCCACATCTATGACAGGCATCCTCAGAGATTGTGAGAATGCCTGCCATAGATGTGGGCAAAATGTTAGGAGAGAATGCTTCTGGAACATGGCCATACAGCCCAGAAAATTCACAGCATCCCAGTTAATGCATCCATTCCACAGTGAATATCGGAAGCACTCTTTTTTACATTCGCCGCCCATCTTTGCTTAAGCTGGGCTCATAGGCAGTTAGCGTAAACAAGAATGCCCCTGGGCAGGTGCAGAGTGAGTTTCCCTCTTTGCAAAGATTGGAGGATGAAGGGCTTCCAGTTCAGTAGGGTGGCATTTCTACCTTCCTGTTTCTGTCCAGAAATTAAACCCTGCTTCCTCTCATTTCAGACTTGTCAACCTGAGACGGGCACTTGAAATCTTCTGAAACTTTTTCCCACCTGAAGAATTTTAACATGGTGCCAGGAACACAAAAAAGGTATGGAAACCCAACACTGACTTTTCCCCCTGCGATAAACTGCAAGTTGCTTCTGGTGTGAGAGAATTCGCCGTCTCCAAGGACGTTGCCCAGGGGACACCCAGATGTTTGATGTTTTACTATCCTTGTGACCTGAATTTAAATTCCTATGTTACATTACTATTTTTTTTAAAGTTAAGCTGAATTGATCCTGTTTAATTGCTCTGTTTCCATGCTATTTCCTATGCTAGTATACGTTTCTATCCACCTTATTGAACCACTTCTTCCTTTAACCAGTTTGCATAGTGGTCCTCCTTCCCCCCTCCAAAATTAGTCTGCTGTTGCTTGATGCTTGTTTATTACTGATATGCTGTTTTGTGCTATTTTGATTTGTTGTTGTTCTGTTTTAAATTGTATTTTGCCTGGGCTTGGCCCGAGTCCCTTTGGGGGAGATGGATGCGGGGTAGAAAAATAAAGTTCCTCCTCCTCTCCTCCTCCTCCTCCTTCCTCTTCTTCTTCTCCTTCCTCCTCCTCTTCTTCTTCTTCATCCTCTTCTTCTTCTCTTCTCTCCTTCCTCTTCTTCTCCCTCCTTCCTCTCTCCTTCCTCCTCTCCTCTTCTTCTTCTTTTCTCCTCCTCTCCTCCTTTCTTCTTCCTCTCTTCTTTTTCCTTCTTCCTTTTCTTCCTCCTCTCTTCTCCTCTTCTCCTTCCTCTCTTTCCTCTCTCTCCTTTTCTTCTTCTTTTTCCTCCTCTCCTTCTCTTCTCTTCCTCTCTTCTCTTCTCTTCCTCTCCTCTCCTCCTCTCCTCCTCTTCTCCTCCTCCTTCCTTCTTCTTCTTCTTCTTCCTCTCTCCTCCTCTCTTCTTTCTTCCTCCTCCTCCTCCTCCTCTTCTTCTTTCCTTCTTCTCTCTCCTCCCTTCTCCTCCTCTCTCCTCCTCCTCTTCCTCCCCTTCTTCTTCTTCTTCTTCTTCTTCTTCTTCTTCTTCTTCCTCCTCCTCTCTTCTTCTTCTTCCTCCTCCTCCTCCTCCTCTTCTTCTTCCTCTTCATTTTCTTCTTCTTCCTCCTCCTCTTCTTCTCTCATGTCCCCGCAAGGGGAGCTAGAGCTGTCAGAGGGAGCTCGACCCGCTCATTCAAAACACTGATTTGTGGGTCAGCAGTCCTGCCGGCACAAGGGTTTAACCCAGGCATGGGCAAACTTGGGCCCTCCAGGTGTTTTGGACTCCAACTCCCACAATTCCTAACAGCCGAACCCAGATATGGGCAAACTTGGGTCCTCCAGGTGTTTTGGACTCCAACTCCCACAATTTCAATTGTGGGAGTTGGAGTCCAAAACACCTGGAGGGCCCAAGCTTGCCATGCCTGGGTTAACCCATTGTACCATCAGTCGGTCTTGAGTGATAACACAAGGCTTGCTCGTGTGGAGAAGCACAGCTGAAGCATCCTCTGCTTAGTCCACTGTAAACACTGCACAGATTGTCATGCCAATGGGTAGCATTCACTGTCCATTGAGAATGGGGACCCGGCGTTGGATAGGCAGCGCTCCACGCTCTGCACATGGCCAGAGGCACGGCTTTGCCCGCCCGCCCCCTGCCAAGCCGTCTCCCTTCCTTGCCCCGCTCTCGGCCGGACTCTCTCACTCACCTGCCGGGCTGGGTGTGCTCCTTCTTCCTCCCTCCCCTGGCCGGGAAGGGTCCTGGGCGGGCGCATCTCCGTCTCGTGGGGCCGAGTGGGCAGCCCGGCGCCCGGCGGAGCAGGGAAATCCGCTCCTCGGGAGGAAAATCCTCGCGCGGGAATAATGCACCCGGCTTTGGAGGGGATTGGAGAGCGAATGGGAGGGAGGCGTGTGCGCGTCTCCCTCTCTCAATCCTCTCCCTTGCGAGTCCCCACCCTCCTCATGCCTTCCCCCAATCTCTCTCTCTTTCTCCCTCTCCCCTTTGCCTCCCTCTGGGCTGCTCCTGCTTGGCACGCGTGTTGGAGGGAGGCAGGTGCACACAATCCACGCGGGCCCGCCGCCGCCGCCGCCGCACCGTCCCCCAGGGCTGCCCGAGGACGAGGGGAGAGGGATTGGGAAAGGAAAAACGGGGGGCGGGCAGTGACGCATGCCCTCTTTGGAGGGGGGAGAACCCACCCTCCATTCCCCTCCTGGATTCTAAGGGAGCTTGTGCTTTTATTTCACTATTATTTTAATTTATTTTTCTCTCATTTTAAACTTTATTTTATTTGACCCTTATTTTGAAATTGTTTTCCGTTTTTTGATTTTTTTTCTGTATTATTATTTTATTGAATTTTTATTGTCTTTTACTATTCATTTATTTGCATTGTCTATTTTACTATGCTATTTTATTGTATTATTGTTATTTTATTATTACTGTATTACTCTTATTTACTTCATTTTTCTATTCCTTGATTGCTCTTTTATTATTTGATTCTTTAGACAAAGTATACTTTATTTTATTTTTGATTTTTTCTCCTTTATGATATTATTATTCTATGATATCATTTTATATTATTATTCCATGATATCTTTAACCGGGAGCCCCCAGTGGCGCAGTGGGTTAAAACACTGAGCTGCTGAACTTGCTGACCAAAAGGTTGCAGGTTCGAATCTGGGGAGTGGCGTGAGCTTCCGCTGTCAGCCCCAGCTTCTGCCAACCTAGCAGTTCGAAAACATGCAAATGTGAGTAGATCAATAGGTACCGCTCTGGCGGGAAGGTAACGGTGCACCATGCAGTCATGCCAGCCACATGACCTTGGAGGTGTCTATGGACAGTGCTGGCTCTTCAGCTTAGAAATGGAGATGAGCACCAATCCCCCAGAGTCGGACACAACAGTACGTAATGTCAGGGGAAAACCTTTACCTTTACTTATCATTTTATTACTATTTTACTATTATTATTATTTTATTTTTTTATTATTTTCCATTGGTTGTATTATTTTATTTTACTATTATTTGAATTATTTTTCTATTATTTTCTATTTTATTTTATTACTATTTTACTATTGTTTTTATTTTTCTATTATTTTCTATTTTATTACTATTTCACTATCATTTTTTATTTTTCTATTATCTTCACTTTTTTGTATTATTTTGTTGCATTTTTTACTATTTACTATTTTAATTTATTTTCTATTATTTTCTATTTTATTTTATTACTATTTTACTATTATTTTTATTTATTATTTACTGTATTTCTACCCCACTCATCTCACCCTGAAGGGGAATAAGAGTGACTTACAGTTGTGGCAAAATTCAATGCCACATTACAATTAAAAAAGATCAAAACATAATGCCTAGTCTCATAGTCATTATTCATGCTGATACATTTATGTCATATTCCATATTGCACTACTCCCCAAATGCCTTATTCCATAGCCAGGTCTTTAACTTTTTCCTGAAGACAAGGAGGGAGGGGGTCAGTCTGATGTCACTGGGGAGGGAGTTCCACAACCGAGGGGCCACCACTGAGAAGGCCCTGTCCCCACCAGTTGCACTTGTGAGGGGGGTGGGACCAAGAGCAGGGCCTCCCTGGCAGATCTTAACACTCTAACTGGATCGTAATTTATTTTTCGATTACTTTATTATTATTTTGTTATTTTTATACTTTATGTATACCTTATTAATACTGTATTTTCTATCTTTTTATTTTATTTTACTATTATTTTAAGATATTATTATAATATTTATTTATATCCCACCTTTCTCCCCATGGGACTCAAGGCAGCTAACGTCTAGCCACAGTAAACATTTTAAAAAGAGCAACACAAAAGTTAAAAACAAACAAATAATATTTTATTATTATTTTAATTTTATTTTTCTATATTCTCTTTCACTTTATTGTTGTTTTATTACTGTTTTACTTTCACTTTTATTTTATTATTTTGTTATTGTTTTATATATTATTTTTATTTTATCTTATTTTATTTCTTTCATTATTGATGTGTGCCTGAGGCTGAGAGGGTGGGACCTGCCTATTATTATATAGATATAAGAAAAATTATCATATTGTTTTATGAACATAATAATAATAATGTGCCAACACCAACCAGTAGTTTCCATGGCTGAGCAGAGATTTGAAGCCTCGTCTCAACCCTCATAGGACAACCTCAAACAAACACATTACGAATCACTTAAAATTAGTAAATAAGCCATCCTATTAAAAGCAGCACTTTCTGAAAAGAGTTGACAACCATCGGGTTCATGACATGAGCATAAAGATCCACACACACACATACACACACAACCTTCAAGACAAAACCTTTCTTCTGTGCAAGGCATCTCTTTACGGGAAAGAGGTTGACGCTTTGGACAGCACCTTGAAAGTCTGGATTCACTGAACCGTGGAAGCCCCCTGCTGCTGCCGCCACCCCAGAGATGGGCTTGTGGCTCAGATATCACAGTCATTCAGCTGCCTTTGTGTACTATACATCTCAAACAGAGTTGGAGGCACTTTTCTACCCCTGCTTTGAAAATATCTTTATTCGGTAAGCCAATGTATCTTTTCCACCAATGATAGCTTTCCCCAGGGGAAGGCCCCTCTGTCGCCTCACCTCCACCACAAGCCATTGCTATCTCCTCCAAGTTAGCCAGCCATAGCAGCATAAGCACACTGGAAAATTTAAATGGCCAAGATGAAGTACTTTTGCCACATCATGAAAAGGAAACCTTAGAGAAGACAATGATGCTGGGGAAAATGGAAGGAAAAAGGAGGAGGGGCCGACCAAGGGCAAGATGGATGGATGGCATCCTTGAAGTAACTGGATTGAACTTGAAGGAGCTGGGGGTGGTGACGGCCGACAGGGAGCTCTGGCGTGGACTGGTCCATGAAGAGTCGGAAACGACTGAATGAATGAATAACAACGACGTCTGTTAGAAATGGAAGAACTATAGCAGCTAAAATCATGGTCTACAGTCAGCTCTCCACATTTTCTGGGGTTAGGGGCACAGGACCCCTACGTCAGTGGGAAAAAGTAAATAAAAACACTTTAAAAACCTAAGATAATATCTCTATCTAAATCAGGCTTAGGTAAACAATTCCTATTAGGAATTGTGGGAGTTGAAGTTCAAAACACCTGGAGCATCGAAGTTTGTGCCTGATCTAATCTGTAGAGTTAATGTAGATTGACACCACTTTAACTGTCATGGCTCAATGCTATGGAATCCTTGGATTTGTAGTTTCACAAATTCTTTAGATTTCTCTGCCAAATCATGCTGGTCCCTCACCAAACTACAAGATTCCATAAGATTGAGCAATGGCAGTCAAAGTACGGTCAAATTGCATCAATCCATTGGCGTGGATGTCCTCCAGCACATAAATGTTGATCATAGAATGACACTGCAGAACCTACAAATGCTTAGAGAAGTTCCCCCTCTAATAATAATAATAATAGTAACAGTAATAGTAATATATATATTTTGTGTCAGGGGCGACTTGAGAAACTGCAAGTTGCTTCTGGTGTGAGAGAATTAGCCATCTACAAGGACATTGCCCAGGGGAAACCCGGATGTTTTGATGTTTTACCATCCTGTGAGAGGCTTCTCTCGTGCTCCCACATGGAGAGCTGGAGCTGACAGAGGGAACTCATCCGTGCTCTCCCCAGATTTGAACCTTTGACCTGTTCGTCTTCAGTCTTGCCAGCACAAGGGTTTAATCCACTTTGCCACCAGGGGCTCCTAATAATAATAATAATAATAATAATAATAATAATAATAATAATAACAACAACAACAACAACATAAACAATGTTATTTATATTCTGCCCTATCTCCCCAAGGGGACTCAGGGCTGAGTCTACAGGTCCTCCAGTGCAAAAGTTGGCCATAGAGTTATGCTGGAGGACCTAGAGATTCCTAAGGGAAACATATTAATCAAATTTGTAAATAATCAAACCCACAAAAGTGAAACTTGCAAATATGGAGGGTCAACTGCATGTATTTAGTCTAAATTACCCCCCTCCCCACCACCACCACCACACAGATAGACATTGGTCTAATTTCCCTTTATAGCCACCTAAGTTGATGGCTGCCTCTACGTCTTAGGGGGAAAAGGTCCTTTGCTTTGAAAAATAATTCTGCCTTGAATTTTCCACCATCCAATTTCACTAAAGGATCCCACCCTAAGTACAAGTATTATGACGGAAGGAGGGAAAGATTGAAAAGACTGAGAGGTGACTTGGCAGCCATCCTTAAGTATCTGCAGGGAGATGGGGGTGAGTTTGCTTTCTGCTGCTCCAAAATACAAACCATTGAATTGGTGATGGAAGCTCCTTCTTTGGAGGCTTTTAAGCAGAGGCTGGATGGCCAACTGTCGGGGTGTTTTGAATGTGATTTTCCTGCTTCTTGGCAGGGTGTTGGACTGGATGACCCATGAGGTCTCTTCCAGCTCTATGATTCTATGAATTCAAATTACAGGGAAAGAGATTCAACCTAAATATACTCACAACCTCTGAGGATGCTTGCTATAGATGCAGGCGAAACATCAGGAGAGAATGCTTCCAGAACATGACCATATAGCCCGAAAAACCTACAACAACCCAATGATTCCAGTCATGAAAGCCTTCAACAATACAATGAATGCCATGCTTGTACGGGGCATTGTACCCTGAGGCACTGGATGAGGAAGATGCTACTGACCCTGCCTGCAAGGTGCAACTGGAGCAAATACTCCTAGGGCATTTTTGCTTCTGAATTGTGCCCATGGCCCCATCAGCTGGCATCCAGACACAAGGATCCCCAGAGCAGCCCCACTCTCTTGCACCTGAGAGGAGAGCTCAGATCCAAACACAAAGGGCATCCTGGTTTTGGAACTATTTAATGGCCATTGTTATATTGGCCCAGCTTTACCATCTCCGCAGTAGATGGTGATTGTGATCATAACAATCACTCTCTATTAGAATATAATATTAAAATAGAGTTGAATTATCGACAGTATTAAAATAATTTAAGAACAAAGAGAACCGACTTGGTGTTGTGCTTTGGATATAGGACTATAACTCTGGAGACCAAGGTTTGACTTTCCACTC